AAATTTAGTTATAATTATAGGTAATGGCTGCCTTCCTTTTCTCTGCTGCTGTAGTTACTGTGACATTTTAAATTTGAAAATTAAAGTGTACTAATACATAAACCATATCTTAATTCTAAAGAAGCCCTGGAGCAAAAGAAAACATTTGCACGCTGTGAAACATATACACTCAGTTTATGAAATAGAGGTTCATCATCCTTTACTGGCTGACTCTATTGATTGACCTGAAACAATGTTTTATACATTATTTAGAATTTTCTAAATTCAGTTATTATTAATCACACAACTTTTAGACACTCTGTAACACATCTCAAAAGCATTTTTAGTCCATGTCTTCTTTACCAAGATGCCATATCATCAGTATGGCTCTGATTATTTATACTACTTAACAAATACTGTATCAATTGTTATTAAAGAATAACAATATATACCACTGAGAGTAATAAGAATATAGAGTAATATAAAAATGGGCCCATTGGAACTGCTCAGAAATAAGCCATATTAAAATTTGTCCCAAGAAATTGTAATGTTTAACTGTAACATATGACAGCAAGGTCAAGTTAGACCTGTTCTTTATGTAGTACAGTACTGCCTTTTTAAGTTGCTAATTATTCATTTTACACACTTTGACGTTATAAGGAGTTACATTTCCATATTGTTTTCCATATGAAGGTAACAATCATGAAGGTATAGCAGTGACTATCTAAAAGATTGCTGTTTGTCTTTTCTACTATTTTTCTTCTTTGCAGTTGACATCTTCTGCCATGAGAAGAGTCCTCCTATTTCTTCATAGTCTCTGCAGCCTTCTTATCTCTGAGGAAGTTCTTAAGATTTTTAGAGTATTTGGATTTGGCAGATAATTAGAGAAGTATATAGGCCACTAAACCTTTGGAATTTTTTTTAAGTAGTTCCACTTGGATAAGCATATGACTCAGAGACATCTGTAGTCAGCACAGGTTTCCAAACAATCTCATACCTCAAAGCATAATCTAAGGATAGTTTGGGGGTAAAGAATTAATGGTGAGATAGAAGTATAGATTATCCACTACTTTCCTTCCTAATTTGCCACCAGAGGATTCACTCAGCTTCAGAGTAATTTCTATTAATTGAATTTATTGAGTTTTTATAAAACAGAAGAATGTATAAGAGGTGTCCTAAAGAGCCATGATGACACAGTGGTTAGAATGCAATATTGCAGGCTAATTCACTGCCCACTGTCAGGAGTTTGATCTTGACTGGCTTAAGATTGACTCAGCCTTCCATCCTTCAGGGTTGCTAAAATGAGGACTCAGATTGTTGGGAGCAATATGCTGACTCTGTAAAACTGCTTAGAAAGGACTGTAAAGTGCTATGAAGCAGTATATAAGTCTAAGTGATATTGCTATTGCTAAAGAAAAAAAGAACATAGTTTATATAGTTTGTTATACTAACCTACATTTTAAGCTGTTTAGGATGCGTTTCTCAATTTCTGGAACTATTCAGTGTTTGTCTGTGTATAAGTTCACTGCAGAAATTATCCAATTTGTTTTAAAGGTGAAATCACAGAATCTGGAAATAGCCAACTCGGCCCTGTGTCAATTCATTCCCAATTCATACTTCACACCATTCTTATTGAAATATATTCTCTGTAGTCTGAAGTAGACAATTCAGGTCTCAAGAGCTGCAAGTAACCAGAAATTTAAAAATGCCAATCAATATTACATCATCACTAGTTGGTTTTCTATGGCCCTTTGTTCTAAGAGGTATCCATCCTTGCTGCAGAATTAAAAAAAAAACTTTCTAAGTATATTTTACTTTTTGTACTTTAATTAAATGAAAACCAGCAAGTACATTCAATTCTCAACTATTCTGAATACAATCATCTAGAGGAGTAATGTTCAGAGAGTCAGACATTCTTGCATCTGATTGCAGGCATCTTCTAGAACAAGACAATTCAGGTCATATAATCCCAATAATCTAGAAAGTGAGAATCAGATGATGCTTTGCTATGGAGGGAGAACATTCCTTTTCCTCAACAGGATCTTAATACAAGTGATTCACTGTGATTTAAGGACTGACCTTCGTCACATTTCTGGCACAACTTTTTATATAAGTGAGGATTTTTTTCATGTAGGTGCCACAACACTTTTTCATTGTACCAGAACTGTGATGACCCAGGGCACAGCACAGAGGCAATGCAGTCAACTGGCAATTCAAGCCGCCCTTTAATTGCTCCAAATTTTCCCCAAATGCTCCCACATTTCTGGCAAGCCTTAAAACAAAGGAAGACCTACACACCTCTGACTGCAAGTAGCCTCACACACAGTCTGACTAGGAGAGGAATCCACTCAAGGCCATGGAGATAAGAAAGAATGACACATACATCATAAATCTAATGAATTTGTGTGAATATATGCTTGCCTGAGCAGTTTCAGTAGTGGAGCCAAAATACAGTCCGAGTTCCTTAAACATCCAAGCAACGTTGTCAGCCAGTCCAATGGTCAGAGTGTCTGGGTTTCCAAGCAGAAGTCACAGAACAACACACACAAAACTCCAACGAATGTCTCTTTCCACAGCGTCTCCTTAAATCTCATTCTCCAAGTGTGCCTTGTGGAGAGGGGCAAAACACTCTCCTCCCAAGTAGTTGAGCCTGCCTGCATTGTTCCCTTATTCTCTCTATTCTCTGTGCTCTAGGATCAGGTGGGGGTGGCCCTTGCTCATCACCTGAACTCTGTCTCTCCTGTTCCTCCTGTCCCACTCCTGAAGGGCCCTGGCCTTCCTCTGCCTGCTCTTTCCCACATTCCTCTGAAGCCACAGACACTCTCCCTTGACCTCCATAGGTTCCAGCTCATTTTCCTCTGCAGATTCAGGTTCCTACGGAGGCATGACAAGAACTCTAGAACAATAGATCAGGAGCAGATCTGTGTAGAATGTTTTGATAAATTAGGTTAGAATATTCTAACTTAAGTACATGACAGTCTGCTGCACGCTATCAAGAACTTCTTCAGTTTTTGGATTTTGTCATGATTTGGAGCCAGTTCTATTACACAGATACATTTCTTCTTTTATTTCAGGGCATCAGTCCAGTAGAAAATTGTGTGCTAGAATGTCTGGACAACTTAAACTATACAAGTCATTCTACCACACAAAATTCATTTCCTATTTCATAGACATAAGAAGCAGTTCTCTCCCCATCTCACATACACCAAGATTGTACCATTATTATTTGTAATTAAGAGTGAATTGCATAAATGTAGACATGAAAAAATCAAAATTTTATTTATTTTTTAAATATATTTTATTGATTTTTTAAAACATAAACACCTTACTATTTGGTAAACAGCATGTTGTCTGAGTTTATATTTACAAAGTAATCATTAACAGTTAGTTTCTGTATTCCAAAGTCCACATAATAGCTTTGCTTGATTTTCTGTTCTTCAATAATATTCTCTTTGAAACCTTAAATTAATACAATTCATATTAATTTGATAGGTAACAATTAAATATAAAGATTTTTCTAAAATTTCTACCAATAATAATCACATCAATATCATGCTTCTTTTCTTGGTCATCTTGGTTGCCTTGTCATAAATCCTGTTTACAATTCTTGTTTAAATTTATTTTCCCTACAATATTCAAAACATTTCTACCGATTAAAATTTTCCCAGAATTAATTACTTTAAAGTATTTAAATCTGTTTTCATGTCTTAAAAAATAAGTAAGAAAAAGACACAAAAGAAAGACATAGAAAAAAAAAGACGTGAGAGAGAAAAAGAAAAAAAGGGAAAAAGAAAATAATATACTACTTAAAATACATATCCTCTTGAACTAGTATACACTTATTTCCATATTTTTTCTGTTCTCTTTACCCATAATTAAATCCAATCATCTAATCTCTTAACTCTATTCAAAACATTTTCCCATTTTTAGTTATCCATTGGATTTTCTTAAAATCAATTACATTTAAATATCTAAAACATTTCCTTTATATTGATCATCTCACACATTTTTATAGTTATTATATCAAAAAAACAAAAAAAGAAAGAAAAAAACACTGTCTTACTTGGAGGATTCATCCCTCGTAAACTAAAATCTTTCTATTTCTTCAGCCATATTCAAACAAGTGTTTAATTTTTAAATATTCCCTCTGATACACCCCATCATCTAATTCCTCAATTCTCACTTCTTTTGCCAAGCATCTTTCCCAATCAATATAGTCCGTTGCATCAAAGAATCTTTCCATAATCTTGTAAATGTTGTTGTAGATATAGTAGGCAAATCAAACATCATGTCTTTGTAAAAAGATTTTGCCCCTTCATATTCATTGTTGGATTGAACTTCAAAAGAGCTGACTTTAACAAACTCAGAGAGAACCTAGGAAAAATCCCAAGGATGAAAATCCTAAAGTGGAAAACAGCTCAAGAATCATGGGAAACTCTGAAAAATATGATCATAAAAGCCCAAACCAGCACAATGTCACTGAAAAAGATAAACAATAAATTCAAGAAGAAACCAGCATGGCTGCACAAAGATCTCTCTGACAAACTTAAAGACAAAAAGGACAAATACAAAAAATGGAAAGAGGGGCACATAACTAAGGCTGATTATCAGCAGACAGCCAGAACATATAAAGATGAAGGAAAGCAAAGGCTCAGAATGAACAAAGACTTGCAACAGAAATCATGAATAATAAAAAAAAACTTTCTTCCAACATATTAATAACAAGAAAAAGTCAAGGAAACTGTAGGTCCTCTAAAGAGAGAAGATGGCAAGGAAATAACAGGCAACAGGGAGAAAGCAGAGCTGCTTAACTCATACTTTACATTAGTCTTCACACAAAAAGAAACCATAGCCCAACATACCAAATAAAAAAAAAACCCCACTGCAAAAGAAAATTAGAAACAAAAATTAAAATAAGTAAGTAAATGGTAAGAGAACACATATCTGACCTTGATGAATATAAATCACTGGGGCCTGACAGATTACATCCCAGAGTTCTGAAGAAGCTGGCAGATGTTATCTCAGAACCACTGCACCACATCTTTCAAAAATCCTGGAGCACAGGAGAAGTACCTGAGGATTGGAAAAGGGCTGATGTAGTTCCCATCTTCAAGAAAGGAAAAAAAAAAAAAACAAAACGGACCCAGGAAACAACAGACCAGTCAGTTTAACATCAATACCTGGGAAGATCCTAGAAAAGATAATCAAAAACCAGATCTGCAAACAACTAAAAATAAATAAAGTTATAACTAGTAGCCAGCATGGGTTTGTTAAAAACAAATCATGCTAAACCAATCTTATTTCATTGTTTAACAAAGTGACTAAACTAATAGACCAGCGAAATACTGTGGACATAATATACTTAGACTTCAGTAAGGCATTTGGTAAAGTAGACCACAACTACTCCTTGGCAAGCTAGAAAAAGGTGGAATAGACAACATCACCACCAGATGGATCTGTTGCTGGCTGGCAAACCGTACTCAATGAGTAGTCCTCAATGGCACTACATCCACATGGAGAGAAGTAAGCAGTGCAGTACCACAAGGTTCCATCCTAGGCCCAGTATTCTTCAATATCTTCATCAATAACTTGGAGGAGAGAATTGAATGGTAACTCATCAAATCTGCAGATGACACCAAACTGACAGGAGTAGCCAACACCCCAGAAGACTCAGGATCCAAAAAGATCGTGACAAACTTGAACAATGGGCCCTATCCAACAAAATGAATTTCAATGTGGAGAAAAGTAAAGTTTTACATGTAGGCAGGAAAAATCAAAGATATAAGTACAGATTGGGCAAGACCTGGCTTAAAAACAGTAACTGTGAGAGGGACCTTGGAGTCCTAGTGGACGATCATTTAACCATGAGCCAGCAGTGTACAGCAGTAGCTAAATAAGCAAATACAATCCTGGGTTGTATAAACAGAGGCATAGAATCAAGATCACACGAGGTATTAGTACCGCTTTATTTTATTTTTTTTTTTTTTTTATTGAAAATTTTTAAATTTTGGGGGGGGTATGGGAAGGGGATTTGTTTTTGTAAAAGCTTTATAAAACCCTAGTAAGACCACACCTGGAATACTGCAGCCAATTTTGGTCATCATATCACAAAAAAGATGTTGAGAGTTTGGAAAAAAAATAAAGAAGAGCAAGTAAGATGATCAAAGGCCTACAGACTAAAACATACGAAGAACAGCTGCAGGACTTGGATTTGGCTAGTCTAAAGAAAAAAAGAAATAGGAAAGACATGATAGCAGTATTCCAGTATTTGAGGGGCTGACACAAAGAAGAGGGGGGTCACGTTATTCACCAAAGCACAGAGGGCAGGACAAGAAACAATGGTTGGAAACTGATCAAAGAGAGAAGCAACCTGGAATTAAGGAGAAACTTCCTGACAGTGAGGACAATTAACCAGTGGAAAAGCTTGCCTCCAGAAATTGCTCCATCCCTGGATGCTCCATCACTGGAGATTTTTATTGTCTGAGATGGTATAGGTTCTCCTGCTTGAGCAGGGGGCTGGACTAGAAGACCTCCAAGGTCCCTTCCAGCTCTATTCTATTCTATTCTATTCACATCAGTGCATTGCTCAATCAATCAACCTATCAAACACAGCTTTACATTTATAACTATAGATTAGCACACACAATTTCCCCACAAAGCTGTATAATTTTTGGTTAGCTTGTTTGATGATGTGTCCCTTTTGGTCAAGATGTTAAGATTTATCCTATTATAGACCTCTGTCCTTGAGCTCAATCACAACGATTTTATTGGGTACAGGGAGTTTCTTTCTTTATTTTCCCCCCTCAATTTGTTTGCTACCTGATGTCTCAGTACAGGGTTACTGAAAATATCTGAAGCTCCAATAAGGAGCTATTAATAATAACCTCTTCAAATTCTGAGATTTTTCCTCCAAGTTTTTTTCATCCGTTTTTCTTACGGCAATGACAGACTGAGTTAGTCTCTATGTTTTATTGAAGGAAAAAATGCTCAAAATTCTAAAGGAATCAGCATCACTTTATTCTGTTCAACTTCCTGGAGGCTGGTAATAATTGGCTATATCAGCACTAGTTGCAGCACTGACGATTTGGGATATTTCTTTTCATTTCTTTTTGTTATTGTATAAGAAATCAATGCTGTCACTACATTTTAATTATCATTTCGCTCAGAAACTTTGGTTTGCTCAGGCTACTTAACTCACAGTAGCTTCATCATTGACACCAGTTTCACCTGTTTTTCATGTTAGTGTCTAACTCTATAAACAGGTAACAGATTAATTTACTTCTCTATGTGTTAATAACTCCTGTAATCTGTACCCGAAGTAATGTGCAGAGCGTGAGGAGGGATTTTTATAATATATCCCACCAAGAGTTCTTTTAGCATTTTGCTTTTTATTGCATTGCGTTTTTCTGTCAGTACAGAGCAATGTCTTTGCTTGGTTATCCTTTTTATCCTCAAATGGCTTCTTTTTATTGCCCAGATTTTTATTATTTTGACAGTGACTCACTGATCAATTACAGGAAGTCTGAATCAATGCTGCCCCTCCCCATTAATTCACACCTTTCAAATTAGACTTTAGGCTGTTTTCCTAGGATAAACCCCAAAAGTATTTTACAGGTTATAGTTGTTGAGTCCTTGGCGAAAAGCAGACGCGAGAAGCAGTTGTAGTTCTCAGGTTTCCTTTTATTCTGTGTTCAGCTTACAAGTGAAGGCTTCAGCAACGCCCAAAAGCTCCTAGCCTCTTATATAGGCAGTTCCCGGGTCAATGTGTTACTTTTCCCGCGCCAGCACCCGCGCATGCGCATAGGCGCTGGCGACAGCCTGTCTGGTCCCGGGCAGCTTGCACCTGCCCGGGACTGCCTGCAAACGCCCCGAGCCCGTTTGCAAGGCTCGGGACATAACACCCCTTTCCCCCGGGCTAAGACTACTACCAACATACAATTATTTCTTGATGCAGTGTTCTACTCCCCAGTGCTCCTACTGTTTACTGGCTTTTGTTTGGCCAGCAATGTTATGTAATCCTCTAAGTATTTAGGAGATTTCCTTGCTCTCTGTGACCTTCTCAGCTCTGGGTTTCTGACAGGTGTTCCCTGACTGAGGGGAGACGTGAGCCTGTTCTCCTTATCATGCCTTGGTGCCTTCCGAGGACTGTGCCCCGATGCCTGGCCTGCTTGCTCGCCCACCGGGCTCGTCAGGCCAGGGCTTCTGTCACTTTGTGACCTGGTTGACCTGCCTAGCTGTAGGCCCTCGGGCCCCTTGAAGTGATAGCCACTGCTGGGCGTCTCTATAGAACCTCCTAGGTCCGTCCAAGACCTGTCAGGAGGCTGTCCAATCCCTAAGCCCCGTTCTGTGTCCGGGCTCGTGTGGGTCTCTGTACCTTCCCAAAACTCAGTTACTCCCTGATGTGGGCTAGAGGTGTTGCGGTCGGGACTTGGTTCCTCGACCACCTCCCTGTAAGTTTGACCCCCTGTAGGACTTGGGGTAAGGTCAGGCCAACTCTGGGGATTATGTGCCAGCTCTCTTGCGGGGTATGATTTATTGGGATGCTCCCGGGTATCCTCCCTGACTGGAGTACTGTGCTGTGCAGGTGAATAGTGATTGTACCCCCGGGGTGACTCCCTGGCTGGAGTAGGCGTGAATGCCTGGTAGTTGGATAGGCTCTTAGAATTCCTGTTTGGGGCACTCGCGGAATCTTGGAATGGGCCGTTTGTGGCTCCATGATTGGAGGTGGGCAGCAGCTCGTGCCCCTCCCTTTGCTCTAAAGGGTCCCCCTCCCCCCCTGGAAAAGACCCAGGAGTCTCATCTGAAAGGTCCCGCCTAGGGCGGAGTTGGTCGATGTGCCGACGCAGGACACGACCGTTGTCCAGGGCTACCTCGTAGGAGAGAGGACCTGTGACCCTGGAAATAGAAGCGGGGACCCATGTATGACCAGGCCCGTAATTGCGAGTCCAAACCGGGGCACCCACAAGTAGTTGTCTAGGTGCCCTAGGATGTGAGGTAGATGAAGGCAGTCTGTCCGGATGCAACCGGTCAAGCTTCGTAGTAAGTTTGCGCCCCCAGCGAAGTTCAGCTGGGCTTCTCCCTGTAGAAGTGGACGGTGTGGTGCGGTAAGAAAGGAGAAAGTCAGCCAACCTGTGATGCCAGTCCCCATAGGTGAGTCTTTTCAAGGCGTCCTTTGTGATGCGGACCATGAGTTCAGCCATACCGTTGGTGGACGGGTGGAAAGGTGCAGACGTGGCATGACGAATCATGTTAGCCTGTAAGAAAGCTTGGAATTCGGAGGAAGTAAATTGAGGGCCGTTGTCAGAGACGATGACATCTGGGAGCCTGTGTGCAGCAAAAATTCCCCTCAGTACCTGAATAGTCTTTGCAGTGGTGGTGGATGAGACAGGTACAACCTCAAGCCATTTTGAATGACTGTCAATGAGGACCAAGAAGAACTGGCCCTGAAAGGGCCCAGCGTAGTCAATGTGCACCCTAGACCATGGGGACTGTGTATCCTCCCATCTATGCACAGGAGCTTGGGGCATCTCTGGGCGAGAGCGCTGGCACAGGTGGCATGCATGCACCTTAGCCTCAATGTCCTTATCTAAACCAGGCCACCACAAGTGGCTGCGCGCAAGGGCCTTCATGCGAACAATGCCAGGATGACCCTCGTGGAGGGACTCTAAGATCCTAGTCCTCATTGAGGTGGGAATGACAACTCTGTTTCCCCAAAGCAGACAACCCTGAGAAGTGGACAACTCGTTCCTTTTGGACCAGAAACTCTGAAACTCAGGACTAGGGCAGTGCTCAGGCCATCCAGACAAAACCCAAGAAAGGACACGTGAAAGTGTGTGATCTGTGCCTGTTTCAGCGGCGACATCCCTGGCATTCAGAGGGGACTCGGGCAAGGCTTGGATGGATAGAATGTTGACAGCTGGCGCAGGGTCAGCTTCTACTACTGGCAGGGGCAATCTACTGAGGCCATCAGCATGGCCTATTTCTTTCCCAGGCTTGTGGATTAAGGAAAAATCATATGCAGACAGAAAAATAGACCACCTAAGCATTCTAGGGGAAATGATTTGGGGAGTTTG